AATAATTTTAAAAGATCACGAACTTTAAAAGATCACTATAAACATAAAAATAAACTATTAAATATTTTCATAAAAATATTTTGCATATGAAAAATGTGGCATTCTTAATAAGGCTTGTATATAAGGCAAACAATTTTGCACTTTTTTGCCCTTTTTAATTATTTTCCTTAAAAAAAGCAACGAATTTAAAAAAAATCCTTAAGAATTATTGAACAACATGATAAAACACACATTTTGAAGTTATTGTTTGTTATCTAATAAAATGCAACATTTTGCAAAATTGAGAACAAAAAATTTTCTTGTAAAAAAATATCATAATTTTTACAAAAATTTCAAACAACAAATTATTAGAACAAAATCTACAAATTGCTCTGAAAATGTTTTAAATATATAATATTTTAGCAAACAGTTTTCTATCAAAATTTGTCTTATCTGTTCGACCTTAAATGTCTATACAAATTTTGTTTTTTGCAATTTTTTCATATTTATTTGAAATATATTTTTTTCCCCCTTAAAACATTTTTTAGTTGTTTATTTGTGGTAATTTTTTATTATTTCATGGCGATTAATGTTGTACAATAAAAAATAGGAAAAAAAATTTGTTGTAGAAAAAAATATATGGGTTTCATGTCTTGTGGCATGATGATTAACTGGGGGCAGCACCAATTGTTATTATGTTGTTATTACTGTTGTTGTTTCAATTTAAATTGTATTCAATAGACACATTCAAGTTAACATTTAAACAGTATTGTTTGAATCTGAAGCAACTTTTGCTGATACCTTGGGAATATAGACCAGACTAGAATTGAGTCTTTAATTGGCAAGACAGATCAGACTATAGTCGAGTCAACATATCAAACTATAGTCTAAGATCAGTCTTTAGTCGAGACTATAGTCTAGATTATTAACCACACCATAATCGAGTCTTTAATTGGCAAGACAGACCAGACTATAATCAAGTCTAGAGATCAAACTATAGTCCAAGATCAGACGTTAGTCCAAACTATAGTCTTTAATGGGCAATACAGACCAGATTATAGCCGAGTCTAGAGATCAAAAACTTTGGCTGAGACTATAGATAAGACTATAGTTTAGATTATTAACCAGACTAGAATCGAGTCTTAAATGGGCAAAACAGACCACACTATAGTCAAGTCTACAGATCAAACTATAGTCCAAGATCAGGCTTTAGTCAATATTATTATTCATTATAAAGTCACGACTACAGATTAAACTATAGATCAGGAAATAGTGGTGACTATAGATCAGACTATAGTCTAGACTATTAATCAGAATATAGTCGAGATTACAGATAAAACTATAGTCGATACTACAGAATAGACTACTGGCGAGACTATAAATTAGAATAAAGTCTAGACTATAGAGCAATACAGACCTATAGTCGAGACTATAGATCAAAATATAGTCTAGATTATTAACCAGACTAGAATACATTCTTTAATGGGCAATACAGACCAGGTTATAGTCTAGTCTACAGATCAAACTATAGTCCAAGATCAAGCTTTAGTCTAGATTAAACTATAGTCAGACAATAGTGGTGACTAAAGATCAGACTATAGTCTAGACTATTAATCGGACTATAGTAGAGACTACAGCTAAAACTATATTCGATACCATAGATCAGACTACAGTCGAGACTATAAATTAGAATAAAGTCTAGCCTATAGAGCTCACTATAGTCTTGATCAGGCTATAGTCGAAACTACAGATCACACTATAGTCGAGACTGTACATCAGAATATATCGGACTATAGATCACATTTAATTGGAATTATGCATCACACTATAGTCGGGACTATAGATCACACTATAAACTAGATCAGGCTATACTCGAGACTACAGATGAAACTATAGTCTAGACCATAGTCAAGACTACAGATTAAACTATAGTCAGGGCTATAGATGAAGCTATAATCTAGAGTACAGATTAAACATATAGTCAAATCTGAATATAGTATAAGTATAGATCACATTATAGTCTGGGGTCTAGATCAGTCTATAGTCTTGACTACATATCCTACTATGGTTTAGACCATAGATCAGATTATAGTCGAGCCTTATAGATCAGACAATAGTATAAACTATTAATCATACTATAGTAGAGACTATAGATTAGACTATAGTCGAGCTTATAGATCAGAAGATAGTCGAGACTATAGATCGGACTATAGTCTAAACTATTAATAACCGTATAGTCTATTAATCAGACTATAGGCGGGACTACATATTAGAATAAAGATTAGAGAGTAGTATAGATCAGACGATAGTCGAGAATATAGATCAAACTATAGTCCAGACTATAGATCAGCAAACTTTAGTTGAGATTATCGATCACACTTAAACAGCAGTCGATACTATAGAACAGCCTATAGTGGAGACTATAAGGCATACTATAGCAAAGCACAGTGGGCCAATTCGCCTCTAAGTATGTATTCCTAAATATAACAAACATGAAAGTTGTTTAACTTTTGAACAATATTGTTGTAGTCACACCGCTCAAACAATTGACTAGACACAACTTTGGATCATGAATCATTTTGTTAATTCTTTTATTTCAGCTGGTTAGTAGAAAAAAAGGAATACAATTGCAGTTTTTCTCTAATAGGGAGGTTGTTTGCTTTCCAAAATAATTTAAAAAAAAAAAATATTTTTAAAAATAAACTTACAGTTTTTTAAGTTAATAACAGAAATCTTCATTTTAAGTGACTTACCTGAAAAGAGAGAAAAATAAATAAAAATTATTTTAAGAAAAATTTCAAACAAAAATATTTTTTTTAGCTACCAACCTAATGATATTTAAATAATCATAAAGAAACCATATAATTTTATTGCTTTCAGCAAATAGTTTGACTTTAAATATTATTATATATTTAAAATTACTGCTAATGCTAGTAATAGTTAAACAATAGAATATTTTTAAAATTTTTCCAATATTTTAAGTGTGGAAAAATTATGATTAAGAAGCAGGTGTCTTACATGTTTTAACACATTTTCGTTGTTTTTTTTTAAGTTTTAGGTGGGTGGGTCATTTTTAAAAAAGATTAAAATAAAATGACTCAGTAAATTTAGAAAAACAACAAACAAAATACTACTGCTACAAAAACAGCAAAATTAACACAGATATTTGTCATTTGAATTCAAATCCCAATAAGACAAAGATATTTGTAGGTCATTAAAGTGAATAATAACAATCTCAAATAATTTTATATGAATTTTCTCCCTAAAATAATATTAAATCACAGGAAAAAATTATTTAACAAAAAAACGTTTGTGGTTAAAAATTTTTGTTAAACCACAAAAACCATAAATATTTTACAAATAATTAAATCAGTTTTATTATTATTTTTACAGCTCAATGGAAAAAGATGCAAAATCTAATAAATATTTTATACACACCTTTCCCACGCTCTATTTATAGGTGTTATTATTACATAAATCTATTTGCATATTTTAAGCTTTTTTTGCTAATTAGTATTAAATTTCAAATGAAAATTGACACGGCTTATTTTTTGGCGAAATAGTAAAGTAATTTAAATTGAAATTTGTGTATAATTATTTTAATGTAAGACAATTTATTGTGGGCAGATTAGTTTACTTTTGTTTTATATAAACGGCTTATAAGAGAGATAAGGGTTTAATCCGTTTTTGTTGATTGATTATAAATAAATTACTTGGAATTTGGTGGATTAAATGGAAATTAAAGATACTACAAAGGATGATTATATTTTAATATTAGATCAGACCATAGTAAAAACTATAGAACACCCCACTATAGCCTGGACTGTAGTAAAAACAATAATATTTTCCGTAGACTAGTCTATAGACTACACTATAGACTAGGGATGTTGCGAATGCTAGTTTAGCGAATGCGAATGCGAAAGCGAATAGTAATTTTAAAATTTTGCGAATACGAAAGCGAATGCGAATATATACCGAAATTATTACCTAAGAGAAATTTTTAATTCAAATTTTGCAAAAAAGTTATGTTTGTTTTTATTTGAATTCAATATTACAAACTAAATTTACACAAAAAATCGTTAATAAAATACAAAAAAAAATTAAAAATATTTTAGTTAAAAACATAAGTTATTTTAATTGAAATTAATTAATTTCCACTTACTAGTAATACGACTAGATAATTCATGTTTCATTACTGATTTTGGCTGCTTATTCCAAGTATACTAAAGGCCTTATTCATAAAAAATATTTTATAAACAGTTTATAAATCAAAATTTTGTTTTATAAACCTTTTATAAAATAAAATGTTGTTTATGAATAAGGGTGTTAATATTTTATTTAGATTTAAAAAATTATATCAGCAACTAAACTGTTTAATGATAAATATACTATTATTTAAAACAAACCCTTTAATATTCAAAATTTAATTGAGCCAAATTATATTTTATAAATAAAAGTTTTGCTGCTTTGTCACTTTTAAGATTGAAGCGTCGAGTATCATATATTAACCCAGCTCCACTAAATAATTGTTCACTAGGAACACTTCCGGGGGGAGTGGATAGAAACTGACGTACTACCGGAACTAAAATTTTATATTTTAAACAGTTTTTTTTCCACCATAGTAGTGGGTCTTGGGAAATGTGAACTTTTCGTTCCTTATCATATTCTTTTAATATCTCGTTTATTTCAGAAACTGTTAATATTTCATCCACTTCGTATTCAATATCACTGCTGTCTTCATTTAAAAACATTTCTATATCAGCTTGTATTTGTGATGAAGCGTTATGGGGACCTGCGTCGTTGTCATTAGCTATTAAAGTAGTTTTCTCTGTTATTTTTGTTGAAGAATTGCACACTTCAACATCGGAATAATTTTGATGTATTAATTTACAAGTTCAGAGCGAATCTTATTTTTATCATCCTCGCCAAAAAACTTTAGTTTGTATCTTGGATCCAAATATGTTGATATTGAAAATATTGGTGTTTGTCTTAAATCAGAAAATCTGAAATTCAGCTCATACATAAGCGTTTCAATTATTTTGGCTACATAAGGTGGACCGCTTTCCAATGATTTTTCTTTATTTAATTTAGATGTGAGAATGTGTATTAATGGTATAACCGACGAAATCGAAATAGTTGAACTGCTAAGTTCTCGAGTAACCTCCTCAAAAGGTTTTAAGATGTTTACACATTTTTCCATTATTTTCCAATCATCGAGAGTTATGGAAAGTTGCTCGTAGTTGTTAAGATACAATATTATTGAGTCTTTAATTTTCAATAATCTTTCCATCATATAATATGTACTATTCCATCTACAAAAACATAAATTTGATTTATTTTATGGGGACTCCTTAACGACTCTAAACGGCTCCAATTTTTAACACAAAAAAACTTTTAAATCGAAGCCGTTTATTGTCGGTAACTTATGACACATTTACCTGGTTGGACAATCCTGTATTACACCAAGAGGTTTTTGGTTCAGCTTGTTTTTTTGTATATTACTCAGCTTTTCCTTTGCCAAAAGTGAGTGATTGAAATGTGAGACTAGTTTCCTGTTAGTCGCAATAAGCCCTTGAATTTCTTTTAAGTTTAAAGCATTTTTAATACAAAGTTGAAGCTGATGTACGGAACAGTTTATGTGCAAAAAGTTAGTAAGATTCATTGCTCTAATCATATTAGACCCTTTATCATGGACAACGCAGTGTACTTTATCAGAAATTTGCCATTCATTTATCATTGAAAGTATAGTTGATTTTATAACATCGCCAGTATGACTGCCTTCGATGCTTTCACACCTGAGTACAATATTTACTCTTTGGAACTCCAATGATATACCATGTGCTGTCAAACTTAAAAGAGAAACCCCAGCACTGGGTTCCGACCAAATGTCAGTGGTAAAAGAAAGTTTGTTAAATGTTTTTAATAACTGAACAATTTGGTTCTTGATTTCTGCATACATTGTTTCACAAACGTATTCCGTAAAGTATTGCCGTCCCCTCAAAACATAGCGGGGTAATACTGACTCCATTAAACGCCTGAAACCGATTCCTTCTACAAAATTAAACGGAAGATCTTGCAAAGCAACCATCTCTCCAATTAATTTATCTATTTCCTTTGATCTCGGGTTGCACACGTCCCACATAACTTTACCCCTTAAAGATTCATTTATTGTTAATTGTCTTTTTGCGGCTTGCAGAGAAGTTGTTGGCATTGATGTTAAGGCTCTTTTTCACATTTGGTTTCTTCCATTTTTTTGTACTCCTCATTGTGTTTGTGTTTTAAATGAATAATCAAGCCACTTGTGCACCGACCCTTACGGGATAATATTTTTTCACAAATTGTACATTTGGCTTTTTCTTTTCCTAAAATTGTAAAATATTTCCAAACACTGCTTGATTTTGGCTTCATTTTAAATACTTTTCACGCTTTTCAATAAACAGCAAACATTAACCGTAAAAAAACGTATTTGATGTTTACTTGTTTTTGACGTTTCTTTTAATTTATTTTCGCAAAAAAAAAACGTTGCCAGATTTTTTTTTATTTTTTTTAATGAATCGTTAAATTATTCGCTTAATTTTAGCGAATGCGAAAGCAAATGCGAATGTAAAAAATGAAGCGAATTATTCGCATTCGCATATGCGAATGCGAGCATTCGTTACATCCCTACTATAGACTAGACTATAGACTAGACTATAGACTAGACTATAGACTAGACTATAGACTAGACTATAGACTAGACTATAGACTGGACTATAGACTAGGCTATAGACTAGACTATAGACTAGTCTATAGACTAGACTATAGACTAGACTATAGACTAGACTAAAGACTAGATTATACACTAGACTATAGACTAGACTATAGACTAGACTATAGACTAGACTATAGACTAGACTATAGACTAGACTATAGACTAGACTATAGACTAGACTATAGACTAGACTATAGACTAGACTATAGACTAGACTATAGACTAGACTATAGACTAGACTATAGACTAGACTATAGACTAGACTATAGACTGGACTATAGACTATACTATAGACTATACTATAGACTAGACTATAGACTAGACTATAGACTAGACTATAGACTAGACTATAGACTAGACTATACTCTAGACTATAGACTAGACCATAGACTAGACTATAGACTAGACTATAGACTAGACTATAGACTAGACTATAGACTAGACTATAGACTAGACTATAGACTAGACTATAGACTAGACTATAGACTAGACTATAGACTAGACTATAGACTAGACTATAGACTGGACTATAGACTAGACTATAGACTAGACTATAGACTATAGACTAGACTATAGACTAGACTATAGACTAGACTATAGACTACTATAGACTAGACATAGGACTAGACATAGACTAGGGACCTATAGACTAGACTACTAGACTTAGCGACTAGACTAGAATTATAGACTAGACTATAGACTAGACTATGCTAGCTATGACTAGACTATGACTAGACTTATAGACTGGACTATGACTAGGACTATATACTAGCCTATAGACTATACTATAGACTAGACTATAGACTAGACTATATATAGACTACTAGACTATAGACTAGACTATAGACTAGACTATAGATCTAGACTATAGACTAGACTCTAGACTAGACTATAGGACTAGACCTATAGACTAGACTATAGACTAGACTATAGACTAGACTATAGACTAGCTATACTCGAGACTAGACTATAGACTAGACCTATAGACTAGGACCTATAGCCTAGACTATGACTACTAGACCTAGGACTATAGACTAGGACTATAGACTATACTATAGACTAGACTATAGAAGACTAGACTATAGACTAGACTATACTGGACTATGACTACTAGAGACTAGGACTATAGACTAGGACTATAGACTAGACTATAGGACTAGGACTTAGACTAGACTAATAGCTAGACTATAGAACTAGACTATAGACTAGACTATAGACTAGACTATAGACTAGACTAGAGACTACTAGAGCTAGACTATAGACTAGACATAGACTAGACTATAGACTAGACTATAGACTAGACTATAGACTAGACTATAGACTAGACTATACTCTAGACTATAGACTAGACCATAGACTAGACTATAGACTAGACTATAGACTAGACTATAGACTAGACTATAGACTAGACTATAGACTAGACTATAGACTAGACTATAGACTAGACTATAGACTAGACTATAGACTAGACTATAGACTAGACTATAGACTAGACTATAGACTAGACTATAGACTAGACTATAGACTAGACTATAGACTAGACTATAGACTAGACTATAGACTAGACTATAGACTAGACTATAGACTAGACTATAGACTAGACTATAGACTAGACTATAGACTAGACTATAGACTAGACTATAGACTAGACTATAGACTAGACTATAGACTAGACTATAGACTAGACTATAGACTAGACTAGACTAGACTATAGACTAGACTATAGACTAGACTATAGACTAGACTATAGACTAGACTATAGACTAGACTATAGACTAGACTATAGACTATAGACTAGACTATAGACTAGACTATAGACTAGACTATAGACTAGACTATAGACTAGACTATAGACTAGACTATAGACTAGACTATAGACTAGACTATAGACTAGACTATAGACTAGACTATAGACTAGACTATAGACTAGACTATAGACTAGACTATAGACTAGACTATAGCTAGACTATAGACTAGACTATAGACTAGACTATAGACTAGACTATAGACTAGACTATAGACTAGACTATAGACTAGACTATAGACTAGACTATAGACTAGACTATAGACTAGACTATAGAAGACTAGACTATAGACTAGACTATAGACTAGACTATAGACTAGACTATAGACTAGACTATAGACTAGACTATAGACTAGACTATAGAACTAGACTATAGACTAGACTATAGACTAGACTATAGACTAGACTATAGACTAGACTATAGACTAGACTATAGACTAGACTATAGACTAGACTATAGACTAGACTATAGACTAGACTATAGACCAGACTATAGACTAGACTATAGACTAGACTATAGACTAGACTATAGACTATACTATAGACTATACTATAGACTAGACTATAGACTAGACTATAGACTGGACTATAGACTAGACTATAGACTATACTATAGACTATACTATAGACTAGACTATAGACTAGACTATAGACTAGACTATAGACTAGACTATAGACTAGACTATAGACTAGACTATAGACTAGACTAGACTAGACTATAGACTAGACTATAGACTAGACTATAGACTAGACTATAGACTAGACTATAGACTAGACTATAGACTAGACTATAGACTAGACTATAGACCAGACTATAGACTAGACTATAGACTAGACTATAGACTAGACTATAGACTAGACTATAGACTAGACTATAGGCTAGACTATAGACTAGACTATAGACTAGACTATAGACTAGACTATAGACTAGACTATAGACTAGACTATAGACTAGACTATAGACTAGACTATAGACTAGACTATAGACTAGACTATAGACTAGACTATAGACTAGACTATAGACTTGACTATAGACTAGACTATAGACTAGACTATAGACTAGACTATAGACTAGACTATAGACTAGACTATAGACTAGACTATAGACTAGACTATAGACTAGACTATAGACTAGACTATAGACTAGACTATAGACTAGACTATAGACTAGACTATAGACTAGACTATAGACTAGACTATAGACTAGACTATAGACTAGACTATAGACTAGACTATAGACTAGACTATAGACTAGACTATAGACTAGACTACAAACTAGACTATAGACTAGACTACAAACTAGACTATAGACTAGACTATAGACTAGACTATAGACTAGACTATAGACTAGACTATAGACTAGACTATAGACTAGACTATAGACTAGACTATAGACTAGACTATAGACTAGACTATAGACTAGACTATAGACTAGACTATAGACTAGACTATAGACTAGACTATAGACTAGACTATAGACTAGACTATAGACTAGGCTATAGACTAAACTATAGACCAGACTATAGACCAGACTATAGACTAGACTATAGACTAGACTATAGACTAGACTATAGACTAGACTAGACTATATTCTTAGACTACAATCTAGTCTAGTAATATAGTCTAGTATATAGTATATAGTCTAGACTATAGTCCAGTCGATACTAGTCGATACCAAACTATAGTCGTAACTATTCCCTAGACTCTAGACAAGGCTATAAAACAAATCAATCAATATTAACAGATTTTGCATAATTTTATAATTACAAAATCCCATTATTCTAATTATATAAAAAAATTTGTTGATTATGTATTTAATAAATATATTTTTTCAAAATTTAATTCCATTTAAAAACCACAATTATTGTACCAAAAACAAAAACTAAAACTATTTTTAACAATATGGAAAATTTCTCACAGTTGCGGTTTTAAAGTCAATAAAATTTTATTAAACAATTGTTTTATAGCACGTAAAATACAAAGTCCAATAAAAGAAAAATTAAATAAATTTATATAAATTTTATAAAATGAATATAAAAATAAATGAGTTAAATAACGTAACTAATAAATGGAAAATGATTATAAAGTTTTATATTTTAGATTTGTTTTGTTTTGTTTACAAATTTCTTGAAAACAATCTTGGAATTTTAAAAAAAAATTTTAAAGATTAATGATTAATTAGCTCAAAATTGTCACGACTATTTTGGTTAGAAGTTTTCTTATTTCTTTAAATCTTATGTATTTTAATATGTTTGCGAGTAGGGGGGCATTGAATTTAGTGATTTATATGTTTGTTTGACGACACTCAACAACGATGTATAAAGATTATGATGACACGGTGCGACTGCTGCTGAGGACGCCAAAGATTTGTCACACATGATGTTAAATTAGTTGAGGCAAAGAA